TTTTCCCCTGTAATTTAAAATCCTTTAAGATAGATTTTCTCTCTCTTAATTTCACAAAAAAACACTCATCAAAATTCTTCATTACTGTTCAGAATACCTCTCTTATATTGCAAAGCAACTGAAGTAAGAAGGCAAAGCTTTTGCCAATTATAAAAATGTTGCATCAGTGATGGGATTCATTTTTTTTTTACTACTGGTTCTGTGGATGTGGCTTTGGTGGGTGTGGCAAGGGAAGGATACTGTATATCTCCAGTCAGAGATATACAGTATCTTTATATACATTGCTGGTTTTCCAAACTACTCAAAATTTCTGCTATCGGTTCTCCAGAACTGGTCAGAACCTGCCTCTGGGTTGCATAGTGATTCAGGGCATGTTGTAAATCCTTGACTCTCAAGCTATTCAATTCACAAGAAACAAAATTCCTTCAGTTTTTTCCAAGATTCTGGCTATTTCAATCTGGGTATGCTGTGTTGCAGTGCTGTCTTCTGAGTCTGTGGGTGTAAAGAGCAATGTGACATAAAATGAAACCATAATTTCATCTTTATCTCTGGTCAGGTATTTGATTTTTTGGAGGCATTATGGTGGGGGAGTTGATAAAATATTTGCTTCTGAGATATCCAAGCTTTTTTGTCATTTATTTAGCAATGTTATAGATTGGAATCTCTGGTAATAATATAATTGGACAAAGAGGCTTGTCTAACTTGCGTGTTTGGGGCATCCACAGAATCATGGGAGGACAAAGCAGTCATTCATTTCTGATGTTTGTACTACTGTTGTTCAATGATGTTAGTTATAAAACCTGAACTTCTGCCACTTGTGCCAGATTTACCACCAGGAGTTCACTTTTAAATGGTTGCTTTTTCTTGCTTCAGCTCTGTTTAACAGAAAGTATTGATGAGAACATCATTTGGACCCCATCCTACTCCCCAAAGCCATTAAGTCACTGTGGATATTTTGAAACTTGCCTCACAGTTCATTTTCACTCGTATTGGTGAGTAGAAAGGTTTGTGATTGGCAACTCCAATGAGCCTGATCAGTCTTTCTGAAACATTTTATATGTGCACATCTGGAAGACAGTTCAGGTAGTCCTCAACTTACAACAGTTCATCTAATGACTATTCAAAGTTACAATGATGCTGAAAAAAGTGACTTATGACTGTTTTTCACCCTTATGACCATTGTAGCAGCTTGATGGTCATGTGATCAAAAGTCAGATGCTTGGCAACTGACTCATATTATGACAGTTGTAGTGCCCCAGGATCACACTTTGTGACCTTCTGAAAAGCAAAGTCAAGCAAAGACAAGAATCTGGAGAAGCCAGATTCACTTAACCACCATGTTACTAACTTAACAACTGCAGTGATTCACTTAACAATGGTGGCAAGAAAGATTAAAAAACGGGGCAAATTTCACAACCATTGTCTTGCTTAGCAACATAAATTTTAGGCTTAATTGTGGTTGTAAGTCAAGGACCACCTGTATTGAGATAAAATATTTGGATGACTGATATGTTATTCTTTCATTGCAAACCAACTGCAATTTTCCTTTTTTATATAAAATCATACATTCAAATTTTCTCATCAAAAACAACTTCATCAATTTTCAGAACCCTACTCCATACTTCACAATGCAATCTACCCAGCATTTGCCAAAAATCTTTTGGGTTCTCCACAGTACATAGAACATACAATAATCTTGCTGTAAGGGACCTTGGAAGTCTTCTAATCTAATCCCCTGTTCAAACAGGAGACCCTATACCAGTGTTGGTGAATTTTTTTGGTACCAACTGCTGAAACGGGAGCGTGTGTGCTTGGGGAAGTGCCAGAAACCAGAAGAGCAGTTCCCCGGTGCATGCATGCGGGAGCACCGTAAACTGGAAGAGCAGCTCGCCAGTATGCATGTGGGCACCAGGAAGTTGAGCTTCTGGTTTCCAGGGCATGCATGCATGCTGGCCATCTGGTCTTCTGGTTTGTGGTGTGCATGCGCATGTGAAAATTAGCTGGTCGGCACTCATGGACACGCTGGAAACCATAAGAGAAACGGACGATGGCTGATGTGCCCGGAGAGATGGCTCTGCATGCCGCTTCCAGCACACATACCATAGGTTTGCCATCACATCCCTATACCATTCCTGACAAATGGCTCTTCTTAAAAACTTCAGTGATGGAGCATCCACAACTTTGGGAAGCAAACTGTTTGAATGATTAATTGTTCTCACTGTCAGGAAATTTTTCCTTAATTCTAGATTAGACCTCTCTTTAGTGATCTTTCCACCTGTTACTTCATGTCCTGCCCTCAGGTGCTTTGCAAAATAGGTCAACCCCATCTTCTCTTTGACAGCTTCTCAGGTATCGGATTAAAAACAAAATGATTCACATTCTCAATTTAACATAATTTTAGTTTCACCAGTAGAGTATTGCATATTTATTTACATTTAACAAGTTAACCTTGTGACTGCCTAAAATTTTCTTGGCAAGCTTTTGTTTTTAAAAAATGTTTAATATTGGCTGTTTCCTAGGGTTGAAAGAAAATTACTGGCCCAAGGTCATTGACTTTATGCCTAACTCATGGTGCCCTTGTTTCTAGCCCGGTGCCAAAATTGCTTAACCACTAACCAAAATTGCTCTCATTCATTTATTTACACTTAATAAGCTAATCGTTTTGCCTGTTACCTTTTCCATTATAGAGGGAACAATAACACCATGCTTCTATTAGTGCTATTTTAATAATACCAAATTTCTAACATCTATTAGTCACTAATTCAACCTTAAGTGCATATTAAACAATTCACAAAAACTGAGCTGGCTCAAATTCAGAACCACTCATTGATCTTGAAGCCCTCACTAAGTCTTCACTAATCCTACATCAATCTTTCACTATTAGCAGTCTGGTTAATCATCCTTAATATGCAAGTGTACTATGAATAGACTTATGCTGAAACCATGTGTTCAAAATAAACATCTGTTTTTTTATAAGCAGATTCTTGCCATTCTCATTCGTTTTCAGAACTCCAAAAGTTTCAATTGCTTCTGGGAACTTTTTCCTACTTTCACTTATTCAGTACATATTTCCACCCCATCTCAGTCATTTCAAATGTTGCGAAGTGTATTTCTGATTCTTCCATTAATGCTATTCATTGCAGCAAAATGTGCAACTAGGGCCAGTCATTTAATTCATACTTTAATATGCAATGACTTTGGTTGCACTGATTTGTGTAGTCTGACAAGAAATTAGTTGAAGCCACATCTTACGTGAGTGTGTGTGTGTGTGAGTTTGTATGTATTCATCCACTTCATTCCACAAGATAAGGTCACTTCATTTAGATCTTTCACCATTTTTTTTCAGTTTTATGCGTACACAATTTTCCTATTTTCTTCTTCTTTGGGTTGGTAGATATATTCTCTTTAGTGTTTTCTCTGATTCACTCCAAATCTCAATATTCAATGTATTGAGGACATCACCAGATGGCCCATAGATATTGACCTCTACTATCCATCATGCTTTTTGGGTAATATACAAGTAGTCTTATAGGCCTACACAACATTGCTTATCATCGATTAGCAAGGACAATAACAGTGTTGATGATTTTGGATAGAATTTTATAGGTACAACCAAAGTCCACTTCTACCCTGGCAGCTTACATAATTTTGTGCAACTTCGGGTCACTAATCCATAGGGTGCCTTGCAAGTTAACACAGAGTTTAGCCATAACTGCAACTAAGAAATACTGGTAGTGATCAACTTTTGATTGAACCCAACAAGCTAAGCAAGGCAGTTGTGAATTTTGTCCCATTTTATGACCTTTTTCACCATAGTTGTTAAGCAATCACTGTAGTTGTTAAGTGAATCATGTAGTCGTTAAGTAAATCTTGCTTCCCCGTTGACATTGTTGAGAGATAGCTGGGATGACCCTGGGACAGTGCAACTGTCATAAATATATACCAGTTGCCAAGCTCAAATTTTGATTACATGATCCTGGGAATGCTGCAACAGTATTGAGTGTGAAAAATTGTCATAAATCACTTTTTGCGGTGCTGTTGTAACTTTAAATGGTTACTAAACAAATTAGTAAGTCAAGAAGTACCTGTATATGTATTAAAAGGCAGATGGCTCAAGTGGCTCAAGTGCTGGACTAGAAATTTGGATTTGTGATTTCCAACTGTCTCTTAGACAAGAAAGCAAGATGAGTGATTTGGGGCCAACCGTTCTCTCTTAGGCAAACTCATTTTATTACTTTCTTTTGTTTTCTTCTTTTGTTTTCTTTTGTTATAGTTTTATTTTATTATTTTATAGTTTTGTTCTGTTTTATTGTTTAGTTTTGTTTTTTAATTTTTACATGATTCTGGGCAGCTAACAATTAAATACAAAATAGAAGCAATAAAAAGAATAAATAATATAAATAGCAGCCAAGCAACAAACCTATAACAACATTAATAATCAACTAGGTGAAGAAATGGGTTCATCCACATCATAAGGGCTTAGGTTCGATGTTGTTGTTATTCTGAGGAAAAGAGGACATAGGAGTATTAGCTATATAAGCCATCCTGAGATGACCCAAAATAAAGGTGAGCTAAAAAGAGGTAGGAAGAACTAAACTGTATTGACATTTGGTAAATCCTTAATGAAAATCATCTAATACTAATTCTATCCCTTTCAAAAGAGGCTTATGTAAAATAATGAATAGAGCATGGATTAAAGAAACATTGTTTTATTCAGTGTAGAGAATTGTCTGGAAATAAAGCTGGGATAAGCAGGAAGGAATTTTGACTTTCTATGATCCATCACAATCTTCTGCAATAGTGCAATAGGAGAAAAATGGCCTCCGATGTGGGTGTAATAGCTTTAGGACAACCATGAACAAAGATACTCTACCATAATTTTCAGGTAGTTTAGGCAGGTACCTTAAGCTTGTCTCCACTTTCTAGTGTGGAAATAATCTCTAGGTGGGCAGGAAATAGATACAAGAATATAAAATGACATCACAAAATCAAAAGAAAAAGCTGCTGTTAGCTGAATGAAGTGACTGAAGGCCAAAGACGCCTTTCCAAAAATAGTAAGCAAAAAGAAATATGGGGTGTGCGTGCGCGTATGTGCCTTCCATATGTGAAGGGTGGAGAGCAAATGGGAATTGCTTGTCCATACTTTTATTATTGTCCTTATTTTGCTGAGATCAAGGCCTTTTTCCAAAAGCAAATGCTCTTGCTCAGATAACTGGTGGGCTTCCAGATATTGGTGAATTGCCACATTCAATATTACATCACTGGGGTTGTGGTTGGATTTTTTCCAGCTGTGTTGTTCCAGTCCTTTTATCAGAGATGGTCGTCAGATGGTAAGACATATGACATTTTTTCACCACCGCCATCCACAAAAAAAGCCATGTTGTCCAACGATATATAATATGCTCAGATTGTTCACATTTCAAGATTTCTTTTTTTTATTTTTTATTTAGCATTATTATAGTAAGGTATTTAAAAACAGAAAAAAATGAAAAATAAATTTTAATAGATTTATGAACAATACAAGATTGAAAAATTATTTCAAAATAACATTAACATTGATGCCAATAAAATATCGTCTCCTTTTAAGACTTCAGAACATTATTGAATATGATAAATATGCAATAATTAGCATCAGTATCACTATAATGTGAGTCAGCAATTTAAAAAATAACAAAAAAGCCTGTGTAACACAAACATTATTTTCTTCTTTAATGAATAACTTAGATATTAAAACCTTATATTCAAAGAAACCCAAACTTTGACTACAGACAAGGTCCATGTGTACAGTTATAATCTACAAATAGTATTAGAATTAAAGAATGGAATTAAACTCTGTATCAAACTTATTTTCAAAGATAAAATTATTTTTTATGTTGATGTATAATCCCACAATTTAATTTGCCATTTTTCTACAGAGGAGATTATTTCAATATAAAAACCTATCATAGTATATTTTATGAAAATATAAATTAGTTATGCTGAGCAGAAAAAAAATGGAAGTTTGAAAGAGAATTCAATCTCTTTCAAAAAAAATAAATCCAAATGGCACAAAGCCAGCCTATCTGTGGGACTGCCTTTCCCTAAGAATATCTACTTGCCCTACCAGGTTAGACATATCAATTCAAGTTAAACTATATACTCACATGGATATACTGTATGTGTAACTTTTTATGTTGCTAACAGACAACAGTATATTTGGATAACCTAATATCTAGTAATTGCAGCCCTGGAGCAGAAAAAAAAAATTAGATAAATCAGCATTGCTGTTGTCTGACTCATTTCCCAGGCTATTCCTCTGGCTATTTTTGTCCCTACTCAGCCAACAGTCACAGTAGCTGCAAAATTGAAATCATGTCCTTGTTCATTGCAATGTGATCTAACCAATGAATTCAATTCTCCTTTTCTAACCACTTGCTCACAATTTGTTGGTTAGTTTCTCCCCCATTTGTCTCACATAGTCACAGAGACAATACATTTTGTTCAGTGGCAGCAATGGCCCTCTAAAGCAGCCAGATGCCTGAGATGAGCTCAAATCTTACTCCATACATCTTCCTAAACAAGCTGAAGACGAAGTTTTAGCTTGTGAATCCATTTGTTTGGAATTTTATGCTTTGTTTATGTGTTATTTACTCTTTGATATATTTTATTTTATTATAAACCACTGAGAGTTTGATTAGACTGCAGTAAGTTAGAATTTTAGTACATGGATACATTTAAGAGAATAATGTTAGGGACATAATTGTAATTCCAAAATAATTTTCATTGATCATACCACATGTGCCAAGTAGTTTTGTTTAGAATTTTAGACAAAGTCAAATAAATAGATTATGTCTGATTAGGAAAAGCCATTTATTATCAGTTTTATAACAAGTATTTAGAACCTATAAAACCTATAAAACCTATAAAAACCTATAAAACCTATAAAAATTAAGTACAATAAAATGGTTTAAAAAGTATGAATTTAATTTAAAAAGAATAATAATGTGTTTGTCTATGTTTGTAAGACAAGCTGATAAATAACACCATTTCTCTCGCTCAAAATAAATCATGATTTTCTTTCTCTGTTTTTTCTGTTTGACATGAATGAAAGGAAAGCTACTATGTTGAATACATCAGAGTATGAATCTATGACATGGTTTCTTCACATGCTAAAAGACTGGATTGGTTTTGGTTACATGGAGGACTTTGTGAACTCTGTACTTCAGCCTCTATTGATATTACTAGTATTTTTTCTGCTTATATATTATGTACCTTCAGGTATTGTTTTAATTTGCTATGCATGCACATCTTGTTTATATATTTGGAAGAAAAAATATAACATAAAAGGAAATGTCTACAGTGAATTATGGAACAAACCAAAGCAAAGGATAGCAAATTTGGTGACTTTATGTGGAAAGATATGGCATGGTAAGTAGTTACTTCAATAGTCCCAAGATAATCAAGAGGGCAGACAATTTATTCCAGCCAGAGTCTTCATTTGTATGTGGCCCACAGGTTTCTTGAAACAATGTGCTGTGTAAAATTTGTATTATCAATTTGATATTTGCATCTAAATGGTGCCACATAAATATAGTCATAAGTGGTAATTTACTCAGCTGTTCATCCTTCCGAGGTGGAAAAATGAGGACCCAATTTGTTGGGGGCTGTAGGCTGACTCTGTAAACTTCTTAGAGAGGACAGTAAAGCATTGTAAAGTGGTGTATAAGTCTAAGTGCTACTGCTATTGCTATAAATTATATTCATATACAATGTTTTATTTCCTCCAATTTTTTTTACAGGTATAAAACTATGTCTTGATGTAGTAGGTTGCATTGAAGGCAAGCAAACATTCTGTGCTGACATTCTGGAGAGAGGCTACTTACTAGGAATAGCACCTGGTGGATTGAAAAGAGCAAAATTTTAGTAATGAAAACTACAATCTGGAGTGGAGTACCCATAGTGGATTTGCTAAACTGGCTTTAAAAAACAAAGTGGTAAGTGATCATGTACAAAGAGATGATCTATAAATGCACTTTAGTAATATTGGAGTATTCTCTAAAAGTTATAGATGGAGCCGCCTATGATAACGACTTGGAAACTAAATATAGTCTGGAATGTGGCTCAACCAGCACCTTGTTTCACCCTTCTAACGCCTCTGCTTTAGGAGTTGCAGTTCTGAGTGCAAACCATGCTGCTTCTTGTCTCCTGTAAAGCCCTAGATCCATGATGGTGAACCTATGGCATGCGTGCCAGAGGTGGCACACAGAGTTCTCTCTGTGGGCATGCAAGCTGTCACCCCAGCTTAACTCTCCCGTGCATGGGCACATGCCTCCCGCTGGCCAGCTGGTCTTCGAGTCTCTGCCGCACATGCATGAGGGTGGGGCTCATGTGCAGGGGATGGCTGCATGTGTGGAGGACCTGTGTGCATACATGGGGGTGGGGCTCATGTGTGGGGGACACATAGGGGGGCACATGTGCAGGGGACATGTGCATATGTGGGGAGACATACAAACATGCGGGGAGCAGGGCACATGCAGGTGTGGGCCACATGCATGGGCCGCATGTATATTGCATTTTGGGGATGCGCATGCACATGCTTTGGGCACTCAGTGCCAAAAAGATTAGTTATCACTGCCCTAGTCCAGGGGTCACCAACCTTTTGGACCTCAGGGACCACCAAACTCATAATTTTAAATCCCAGGAACCACTAACCGGTTCTGTGGGCATGGCCTAATTTGTGGGTGTGGCTTGGTGGTCATGTGACTGGCTGGGCATGGCTTGTATGTAAATATAAATATTTATATAAATATTGATTTTTTAATAAAAAGAGCAACTTTTATCCAAAATCAGGCAAAGCAGGCAGGCAGATTGAGTTGCTCACATAATCACAGATTCATTCAGAGATTTATCTGCCATTGGCTAGCTCAATCTGTCACATAAAATTTGCTTTCAAGCAAACTCATAAAATTTGTGAGCAAGCAAACTCACAAAATTAACTCACAACACACCATGTATGTAAATATTGAATTTTTTATTAAAAAAAGTGTAACTTTTACCCAAAATCAGGCAAAGCAGGCAGGTAGATTGAGTTGCTCAAAGAATCACAGATTCATTCAGAGATCTATCTATCTGCCATTGGCCAGCTCAGTCTGTCACATAGAATTTGCTTGCCGTGAGTCTGCACTGAATAATAGAACCTTCAAGATCTAAAGACTAGCTAGAAAGCAAGAAATCCAATCATTTCCTGCTTCCTAGCTAATCTAAATCTCCTGGCACAGCAGAACAGCTGATGGTCTGAAAAAGGAAAAATAGCAATTTAGCAGGCAAGTTTGCCAGGTAAGGAGTGAGTGGGCGGGGAGGGTTTCCGCGGGCCATGTGTGTGGCGCAGCCTTGTGTTCCTGTGCAGCCTGGATTAATTGCTTTGGGGAGATGCTCTGGGGGTGAGATTCCTCTGCTGCCCACCAAATTTTTTTTGCGGCCCACCAGTGTCAACTGCTGCCCTAGAAAGTTTAGGTCTGGTTTTTTTTAATGCCTTTTTGCAATTATCTCTACTTGCCCTACAAAAGCAAAGAAGTGATTATTCAGTGCCACCTTGTGGGATCTCAGAGCCATGCTCTCTCTGTTGCCATTTGGAATGTTATCCTCTTGGAGGTTTTTCTGGCCCAACCTTAACATCTTTTTGAAAAGGTGTAAAAACTTGGCTTTTCAGAATCCAATGTAATTTGTGAACCCAACACATGAAAAATGTTTGATTGTGTTTTCTCTCTCCAATGCTCTGTATTTATTTATGGAGCTTTGATTGTTTTAAACTGCTTTAATGCTACAGATAATTCTTGTTTAACAGCTCATCATTTTATCACTGTTCAAAGTTGTGGCAGCCATGGAATGGGTGCTTTCTAGCCCATAAAGAATATCTGGCAATATAAATGGTCGCACTTCTCTTCTGAGGTCATGTCATGGCCTATTAGGCATGTCATCTTTAGGACTCAGCACAGCATTCCACAGTCACATGAGTCTAGTTTACAAAGGTTTTTTTGCTGTTTTCTAGCATTTTTTGCTAGCTTCGAGCAAAAACTAATAATCCCTTAATGACTGCAACATTTGCTTAACAACCACAATGTTTGTTTAATGACTGCCATGAAAGTCTCAAAGATGCTTTTTCAAGAGGCAACTGGACATTCTTTGTTTTTCCTTGATGACATTTCACTTTTCATCAAATGCTTATTTAGTCCTTTCGGACAACCATGATCTGGATGATAGACTGCATGGAAAAAGCTAGAATTTTATTTCTGGTCATAAGGGTGCCTAATTTGTAACTGTAACAACATATAGCTGTAATTTTGGGCTCTGTTACAGTCAAAAGTCAAGGACTACCTATATGGACTTATCTTTTGATTTGGCAGCTTATATATCTAAATAAATCAATACAATTTCTATATGCAGAGCTCATCAGAACATACAACCATAGTGGAATGGGTCATTTTAAGACAAATATTTTATAATATAGCATTGTCAGTAAATTTTTTCTGATGGAAATCTTGTCAACAGCTTGTACATGTTTCAACATATAATAATACCTATTCCATTAATATATAACATTGGCATTTATTCTGGAAGATCAGGAAACGACAACCAAATCCAATTTGCCTTAAAACTGGTTTTTCTTAACAATTCCAATCTAAACCAAATGCTTTCTCATATCAGTTTTTATACTTGTTGTTTTTTTTCTGTATTTTTCTTTCTAGCCAATCATCCCTATGTTTACAGAAAATCTCCGTGAAGCATACAGGACAGTTGGAAACACATGTGAGTTTCATTTTCAGATTTCTTCCTATATAATTAATTATCTAACCCTCAATCATTATATGTGCTTCCCCTCTCTCTCTGTGTATGCGCTTGTGTATGTGTGTGTGTGTGTGTGTGTGTGTGTGTAAATGCTTATGAATCAGTGGAGAGATGAAGTAGCTCAAAGTTGAATCAGGTAAAGGTGTTAAGATCAGTTGTCCATATGGGCAAAATGACTTCACGGTCTAACAAGAAAGGAAATACTGTTTTTTCCCTTAGGAAAATGCCCAGGCAATTATTTTTTCTTACATATTAACAAGAAAACAGCATTTTTCCATTTCCATTTTTCACATTTCCACATTTACAGATAGCTAGTAAGTTGATTGGAAGAGAAAGATCCATTTTCCCCTCTACTCTGTCCTCATCCTGCAACCCTCTGCCAGTGAAACCACATCTGGGGAGGACTGCATGCTGTTTCTGGATCCAGC